GCGCTTCGGAAATAATGTTGGAGTCACCAAAACTCTCCTGGGAGCCTGGTACTGCACCAAGAGAAGAGGAAAACCCAGTTTTCTTTTTTTGAAAATGAACATTAATGGATTGTGAGGGTGAAAGACAACACACTTCAAAAATATTATTAAAAATTACAATTTTAAATTAAATTAATTCATTAAAATTAACTTTAATTAGTTTTAGAATTAAAATGGTCTTAAAATTTAGCATTTACGCCAAAAAGTGGAGGTGAGGCAGACGTCTGCGCTTCATGGATGCCTCTTTCAAAAGGAGCTGCCAAGCCAAGCCGGATGAAGTGCTGTTGCTCGTGAGCCTTTCACGGTCGTACGCCACCGGGTTGCCCTGTGATGCTCAGTTGCCTTTTATCGTTTCTCTTTGCAGTTTGCCCGCCTGCCTGCAAGTCCCAAGGCTGCACCTCTGACGGGCAGTGCTGTCACAGCGAATGTCTGGGGGACTGCACGGAGCCCAACAACCCTGAAAAATGCGTGGCTTGCCGCAACTTCTACCTTGAAGGCAAATGTGTGGACACCTGCCCGCCCGGTTACTATCGCTTTGAGGGGTGGCGTTGCGTGACCTTCAGCTTCTGCCAGGAGCTGCACAACAAATGCAAAAACGCCAGGGAGTCGGGGTGTCACGTTATCCACAATAACGAATGTGTGCACGAATGCCCGTCGGGGTACATCATGAATTCCAGCAAGTAAGTGCAAGCGTCTGCAGGTAAAGAAACCACGCTGGAGTTTGTGTCTGTGCTTTTCTCACGCTTGGACGGAGGGTTTGTGTTCTGACCAACAAAGGTTTCTGGCATTGGAGTCTCTGTGACAATTACCTGGTTGACTTTAATATGATTTGCAAACTAATACCTTGCTAATTCAAGCCATTAAAAGCAGACAGGTCTACCTACCATGTGTAGTTTATTCCTACTCTGCTTCCCTCGTTTGCTCTCAAGTTTGGAAAAAGTGGGAAAGGGAGATTGAGAAAGATCAAGGAAGAGGAGCGTCCTAAAGTCGGAAGGGTCTTAGTTGAGCGGGGCGAAGGAGATGGACAGTGCAGAGGCTTTAGCGGCCCTGCTTCCCGCCCCCTCCAGAGCAGTCTGCAGGGCAGAAAGCCTTGCTACGAAGCAGAATAGTGAAAAGTCGTGTCTAATGAAAAGAGCATAGCGTACTTTGAGTGGATCATTCTCAGAAATCTGCCCCTCGTCCCTGTAATTCCTTTCACCGAACAGGTTCAAGCTGTGCCAGACACAAACGGACGATGTAACAAACAAGCGTAGCATGAGTCAAAGCAGGAAACAGCCATTCCGACTAGTCCCAGGGTCTTTCGACAAAGGAGTTAAATAATTTATGTTGCTGAGCTGTTTATCACTGAAAACTTTGTTGTTTGTCCCACAATAACATTATATATTGTGATGAGTCAGATTTCCTATGAATATTGGTAGCTTTGTGCTCGCATCTATTTGCTCCTACCATAATAATTTCAGGGAATTCATTCTAACAGGACTTTTTATTCCATTTCCTGTTTTGCTTTTCAAAAGACTGAACCAGCAGCCCCCGAAGTAGATACGCTGCTTGTGTAACAGCAGCCATCATGCTTCTCCTGTGCTTTTTCCAGGCTGCTGCCAGCAGGACCTCACAGCACTACTCCGTGCTTTTCCTAGAGCATTTATTTCTCTGAACTAGTTGGGAACACATTCTTGTGGTGCTATGACCAGGGCAAGCAATCATCTTGCTGCCATTTAAGAAGTATTTCCCCAGAGCACAAAGCACATGCTTGCTTGCCTTTTTTTAAAGCAACTTCATGTACAGACCTTAATTAGAGGATTCCCAGATGAATGGCCGGCTCTCCGTTCATCAATTACATGTTTGCTTAACGACCTTGGGATAGAGCCCCCTGGTACGTATAGCACTGACTGGCATCACGGTGGATGGGCTATTCAAAATAGTCAAAATCACTTTGTTCTGGTTGCTGTTACATAGGAAGGGACGGAGTGATTAGCATTCAGAATGTGGAAATGACTGTTTAAAGAGTTATCAGCAGTTATTTGGAGTTCCTGGAATCACAGAATCACAGAA